GAAAAGAACATTGTGGTGTATCCCACCATGTATATGTATATTTTATATGTATATGTATATGATTTCCTATTCTAACTAAAATAACCTGCACTATTTTTCCTTTTCTGTCTCTTCCGGCCCACTTGCGCTTCCTGGCTAGTTTTGGGCGAAAAAAAAGGGAAGTGAACCGGCCGGGCAGCGTGGGAGGACGGGACCTTCTTTGTTTCATTCTGTGAGAAGCGAGCGAGTTGAGACGACGTGAGAAGGACGAAGGAAGGAGCCCATGCGGTTAGTGAGCGCACGTTGGAAGCTTGCCTAATCGGTCTTGCAGCTAAGGGGAATTTACTTATACTTTAATATCTCTATTCTCATCTACTAACCTCTATTTATTAGTTATACCTTAGTTTTATTTAATTATAAGTGATATTATAACGCGGTATCGAAACTCGCACGTGCGATCGGGTGTAAGCTCTTTGTAATAAGAAAATAACGGGAATGATTTTATGTATCACGGACAGGCTCGAGAATTTGTATAAAAATTAGGTTGTGAATAAATTACTTCGCCGATATTTAGTGAATTTCGTATTAATTCGTGGTGTAGTATTGTATTTTACGGTTTTCATTAACCCGTCACACCACAATCATTAAATTTTGTTTCTTTTAAATTATATATATATTAGTAAATAATAGTTTAAAAATAAGAGAAATGTGATTTTATTATAATATTAGATTAAAAAATTATATTTTTAATTTTAAAAATATTAAAATTGTTGAAATAATGACAGATAAAATAAAGGTAAATAAAAATATAATATATTTTTATAAAATTTAAATTATTACATTAAAAAAATTTTTTTAGTTAATTTTAGAATATTTTGTGAGAGCAACTGAAAAATGTTCTTTATCACATGCATCTACAGCTTGGTCAATGGGAAAACGTCATATTTTCCTTAGGTATCATTAGAATTACTGTTTTATGTTATTAATTAAAAGCAAACAATAGTGCCTCATAAAAATCATGTAAATGTTATAAAATAACTTTACAGTGAAGGAGCTAGACAGCAGTTAGAATTATTAAGGGTGGAAAGACGTCACAATGCCTCTGTTCTCATTCAGTCTGTATGGAGAGGATGGCATTTTCGCAGGTGTCATTGGCTTACCTTAAAAAGAAATTTGCAAATTCAGGCAAGAGTTAAAACTACTAGGTATATGCTAAATAATTAATGTAATTATTAAAATATATTTGAATTCAAATATATCTTAATCAAATTTATTATTATTAGACCTCAATCTTCAACAACTGTAAATACTTCAACCCAAGGATTATGCTCAAGACCTCGACCTCAACCAATAGCTGGAACACCACCCCCTGATCTAGAAAAATGTGATCAGAAAACTATTCAGCAGACCTGTTCATTATTTGGATTAGATTTGGTGAGATATAGAGTAGATTAATGTTTATAATACAAAACCATATANTGCTAGGGTGTGGCCGAGTTATCTGGACTGCCGGGTTATCGAGTGCCAAGTTTTCGAGAGACTACTGTAGTCTTAATTCTAAGAATGTTAGTTAAATGGGAATCACTCAACCTATTTCTTTTAGTAATCTTGATGTTTTTCATGCATGAAAAGAATTGTTCACAACAGTATGTACTGTACTATCCCACATGCATAACAGTTCTCTAGATAAAACAGTTTTCTAACACCAATTACGTCATTATGACATCAAAGTGTATCCAGTGAAATGAGAAGAGTTTTTATGATATATTTTACTGAAATAAATGAAAATATATCTAAAAAGTTTAGGGAGCGGTGGTCACACAAAAATATTAAGTGAGCCGCAGGTTGGACATCCCTCTCTTGCATGCTGATCTTGATGTTTCTTTCAAGACTCAGATCATTTCACTAATTCAAATAGCCAATCCTCAAACCACTTTTTTATCAAATTTTATCAAAATTTTTAGTTTTTTGATAGATTTTTTCAAGATTACATAAATATTTCAAAACAATAATTCATCTTTTATTTAAATAGCAATCTTGGAACCACACTCTGATACTTAATTTATTGAGTATCCCAGTATGGTTCCAGGATTGCTATTTAAATAAAAGATGAATTATTGTTTTGAGATACTTAATCTAATCTTGAAAATTTGAATTAATTAAAAGAATTTGAAATTAATTGGAAAAAAAATTTTAGATCAGTAAAACTTGAATAAAATTAAAATAATCATGACAATGAAATAAATTAATAGAATTGAAAAAATTTTCCAAAACATTATTCAATTAATAAAAACTTGAAAAGTTAGGATTTTTGTTGACTTTACAATATCAATAGCTTGCCCAATCAAAACTCCTTTTTCTTGAAAATATTATTTACTGGTAATAGTTTTAATATGAAAATTTTGATCCAAAACATCTTTGTCTAACTTTATTGATTTAACAGAAATCAAATTATTTCATGTAAGAATACTTTTATGGAAGTGCTTTTACAAGAATACCAGAATATAACTTCATTAATAAAATAAGACCAAAATTAAAAAGCTAAAACTGAATATTTTACTCGCAAATGAATAGAAATATATATTTACTTGTTTTTATTTTTCCATTCTAAAAATTGATTAAAATATTTTTACAAAATTATCATCTTTAAAAAGTAACAAATTAACTAATTCTATGCTATATATGTAAGAGAGAATCAGATCAAATTTAACAAAATCATGTATGTAATTTAATTTGTTTTTACAGCCCAGTCAATTAGAACATTTATGCATTAATTTGTGTGCTGAAACATTGCAACACTTTTATAATACACATGTATTTAAAAGTAGTATTGAATCTTGCAAAGAAGAAGGAGTATTAACAGATGTTCAAGTAGACTATGTTGATAATGTTCCATGTATTGATCTTATTTCGTCATTGGTGAGTATTCAAGCATTACATTATTTCATTAGAATTATTATTATTATTATTGATCAGAATTTTTAATCTGTTCAACTCACAGAGAACAGGCTTATTAAGTTTACTAGATGTTGAATGTTCACTAAGAGGATCACCAGAGTCTTATATGCAAAAAGTTAGGAGCCAATACCAAAATTCACAGAGGTAAATAATAATATTATGATAAAAATGATTAGGTTCTTATATACAGTATATTATACTACAGATATAAATGTAGTTAGTTTTCTGGAGTGTGTGTACATTACATATATTGATTAAATGTTAATAAAATAATATGAAACTAAATTTATTAGTGAAATTAATAAATCAAAGGAGGCAGATTAGAGTTTTAGTAAGTTAAAATACAAAAAATGAAATCTAAGTAGGTACAGTTAATAAATTCATAAAAATTAGTAACATAATACTTATCATGTTTATTATATTTAACTATTGTAATTTTCTGTGAAGTGGATCATCAATTTGAAGATAAGTATGGGCTACATACTGTTGGACTACTGGGAATTTTTTTTTATTTTAAATTGCAATTATGAGCTCATCCAATAGTGCTTCCTTTGTCTAAACTTACCAAGAAAATCTTTAAAAACATCAAAAAACTATCATGTACCATATATATTCACTTTTTCTGGAAATCATCAAAAATATATACAGCAGAAATGTGATTATCCAAAACTGCAGATTATCTGAAACAGTTTAAAAAGAAAAGAGCAGAACATGTAGCATTGTACAGTATATACCACAGAGTATAATACACAGAGAGTAAACTCTCCATGTAACTGGAAATCACTAAATCATCTGTTGATTTTAGGGCCATAAAACTGGATCATATACATAACATTATATTAGATTTTGATAAAATTAATTTACCTTCAAATAGAGTAATTTCATTACAGTATTTATTGGTCATGAAACTCTAAAAGCACAGTGATGGTTGTTATATCAAAAACACAAAAACAAATGAGTTTTTTGATTATCCAAAATTTTATTTATCTAAAAGATTCCTGGTTCCAATTTTGAATAATCAAGTTTTCACTGTATTTATGTCTCGTCTTTAATTCTTTTATATTTCCTATAAGTTAATCCAAGTTTTAATTGATATTTTATACACTTTCATTAAAAGTTATATTTTGAAATTTGATAAATTTCTAGTAATTCTCTATTTCTATGTAGTGGTTTTAGGAGAACTATTTAGAAGCTGACTATTAGTTTTAGTTTATATTAGTTTTTGATAATGAACAAAAGTTAAGCAATTGACTTTTGAACTCTTGGTGTTGGACATTATAAAATCGGTATACAACTTTCATAATAAAATCAACAAGTTGTTAACAGAAATTACTGTATTTACCACTTATTTACTCTGTACTCATTGCAAATTAATTAAATACAGGAAAATACTATTTTATGTAATTGATCTAAGAGTTTCAATAAGTAATTATAATTAAATTCTAATAACTATTTTAGCTAATAAAGCAGTTGAATCTGTACTTTTAATAATAAAAATAACTGATTATTTTCTTAATCTGAATACAAATACTTTTAACATGAAGATTGTTAAATAGATATAAAAGAATATTATTTTCTCTGAATTGAATTTTTGAATTCATTAAATAGTTTTAGCAATTTAGGTTTGTTCTGATTTAAATTTATTGCATTTGTATTCATAATAATTACAGAAGTTATACACAAATACATAATATTTTTGCAGTTTGATTTTTATGAAGTGAACATTTACTTTACTGAAATCTGTCTGTCTAGATCTAAAATCTAAAGTGAATGTTGATAAAAATAATTTAAATTAAAAGAAATTTTAGAGAATATTAAATATTTTTTAAAATTTCTTAAATGATATATGAGAATAAGTAGTAATAAATTTTTTAATCTGTATACAAAAGTATTTTATTTTTAATTATTTAAATTTAAAATAGTTTATTTTTAAAATTAAAAATTTAGTTTAACTTATTGCATTCACTTACATATTATTTTAATTTTAATATTACATTTAATGCCATTATATATCAATTTTATATTTTTAAGATTTCTTGAACCTAAACCTCCAGATCCTCATATGTTTGGAATTCGTCATTTTGCTAGAACAGTGGTTTATGACACCACAAACTTTTTAGAAACTAATAGAGATATTGTCACTGATGATATAATTTGTGTTTTTTATAAAACAACTTGTAATTTTGGTTTTGCCACACATTTATTTGGCAGTGAATTAAAAACTTTGTATAATCAAGGTAAGATTTTAATTCTAATTAAGGTAAAATAATTTAATTTTCAACTATATAATTTTGTCTATTTGTAAAAATTTAGGGGAAACTGTTCCAAGAGGTGTAGCATTTCGAATATCTCCCACTGGATACAGTGATCTGTTAGTAATTTTATTATTAGATTTTTTTATATGATAAATATTTTAAGTGATTATTGTTTTATAATTAACTATTATATTTGGTGGTTTAAGAATTTATAGTCAGTTCATTATTTTATAGCCATAATGGGGAAGAACCAGTTTCCACATTAACTCAAGACTTTCACACCAGATTAGATAATTTGCTTCGCACATTAGTTCATGCCAAACCTCATTTTATTAGATGTATAAAGGTAAATTTTATTGAAATGATTTTAGTTATCTTTTTCCTTGATTTTACTAAAAACAAGTTAATAAATATTTTATCATGTTATGAAAATGTTTAAGTTTTTTGTAATGGCTATACTAGTAAAAACTATTTTCATGAAAGTCAGATAGATTAATAAAATAAATTCAGAACATCAAATAAATTTTACAAAGTAAATATAAGCAAAATTCATTTATATCAAATGAGAATCATAATGAATGCCATTTCACATTTTGTTTTTGAATTCTAGAACTGTTTAATTTAACTCACTGCTTGTAATAATGATTTGAACAGAAAAATATAAATAAATATATATTCAAAATTTTTATTAAAAAATTCTACTATGGATTATGAAGAAGTAAAATAATAGTAAAAAAGAAAACTAAAATAACATAAAAAACCAAATTAAGAAAATATACTGCACATTTCAAACTTAAAACTCTTTCTTTCTTTTCAATACAGAAATTCTAACTTACTCAATAGTTTATGTAATAAAATTTTTAAAAGATTTTTTCCTTTTCTTGCATTACCTGTAGTTTTCATTTCACTTAGAATCCTGCCTTTCGTAATTCCAGAAGTCCAATGCTTCTTGTCTTTTATGTTCTTTCTGAAGAGAATTGACTATTTCCAGTTGACTCTGAAATGATTTACAAATCACAGTCAATGATTTTAGGTTTGCTTTTTTATCTAATTATTTATAAAACTATGAACTGTTTACACTATTATGTATATTATTATTTATACTGCAACAATAATTCAAGAAAGTGTATGCTTTAATCTTTCAACCATTCACCACACCAGGATATAGTTAATCACGTTAATCACAAAAATAAACGTTTTTATTTGTTTTCATTATCTACACACTGTAATTGGTTCGGAGAATGTGATTAGCTTTAATCTTTCTTTTCTCTTGATCATCTCCTCTCATTTCCTTTTTAGTATGCAACTTTTTTCCAATTTTGCTTTTTTTTTTTTTTTTTTTGGATTAATTAGTTTTTCTTTTTTATGACAAAATGTTTTCACTATGTAATGCCAACCTTCATTTGCATGATCCTATTCTCATTTACACTACCCTTCATTTGCATGGTCCGGTTCTCATTTACACTGTTTTTTAAGGTGTTAATTAAATAACTTTAAATACCTTTTACTTATAAACTTTTTTAACAGTTACATCAGTTCAAATGTGATGTTTAATATTTTGGCAGGATGCTATTTCAGTTCTAAAGTCATCCAATCATTAATAACCTTACAGTAGAGTGGAGAAACAAATTATTTACATATATTTGTATTTAGTTAAAGATTGTCAGATTCTTTTCAACTTTAATATAATCTTTATTTTATACAATAATTCAGTTAACAATCACATTAGTTCCTGCTTTATTGTAACACAAAAAACAATTTTAAATTGAAATTTTAGTTACTATTTAAGACTTTTTTATGTTCTAGTAAAGCAGAAACCAATGTGATCATTAATTGAGTGTAGAGATTAATATTGGATGATTTAATTCTTTTAAACAAAACACATGTTTTACTATGAAAGTTACTGAAGATTTTTTGTTTTCCTGTTGTTATTAATGACTAATTTTATTTCAAATAAACATAACAAAGAATAAATTAAATATGAGGGCGGATTTTTTTCCAACCTCCGATGGTCCATAAAATGAAGACAAGTGTAATAACAAAATGAATTTATTCCCAAAAGTTAAGTACAAACCTAGTTACTTTTTGACATAATCATCATGAAGATTGAGACATTTGTCATATCTGTGGACAAGCTTTGCAATCCCCTCTTTATAGAATATTGCTGCCAGTGACTTGAGATGATGCCTTAATGTTGTTTTGAAGATCATCATTAGTCTCAAACCTCTGCCCTCCTAGCCACGTTTTCAGTTCAGGAAAGAGGTTGAAGTCACTTGGTGCTAAATCGGAGCTATATGCTGGGTGTTTAAAAAGTTCCAATCTTGGTGGAAGCCTGAAAGATGAAAGTCTTCACATCTTTAATGTGTGAAGACTTCCACCTCTTTCCTGAACTGATAACGTGGCTAGGAGGGCAGAGGTTTGAGACTAATGACGATCTTCAAAACAACGTTAAGGCATTATCTCAAGTCAGTGGTGGTGACATTCCATGAAGAGGGGATTGCAAAGCTTGTCCACAGATATGACAAATGCCTCAATCTTCACAGTGATTACGTCGAAAAGTAACCAGGTTTGTACCTAACTTTTGGTAATAAATTCATTTTGTTATTTACACTTGACTTTGTTTTATGGAACACAGGAGGTTGAATTTGAACTTTAACTACGTATTTGAACTTTAAAATTTCCATATACAGTAGATCGTCGTTTATCCGAATCAATTGGGGACTGAGGTTGTTCGGATAACTTATTTTTCGGATAACCGATTATGTACGAAAAAATATATTAACCTATCCCGTGTTGAAATTTTTCTCCGTTGCGTGTCGCTTCGCGTTGAATTTTCGTCGATGTTAAGCCTAACGAA